TGTAAGGCAATGATTTATAATACATGTAAGTGATAAATAATTCGTTTAACACAACCGTGCTTATTATTCAATATAAAAATAATGACATGATTTATATTAAAAGAAACAAATGTTTCACGCGATTTAGCTTTCTTACAGCACCATTAACACTATAAAATGGTATGATCTTTGATGATTTAAACTCTAAACGAAAGTTCCTACTATAAAGCTCGTGATAGGATCAATATCAGCTGGCAGTATTGGTGCAGAACACTAAAAGGTACTATTTGGAGTTGGATCGATTCAGTGGTATTGTAGTGTGTGCTGCTTACGCTGACAGATATAAATAGTATTTAGCAGCAATCGGTAGTGGAATGCCTGTCAACTGAAGATTGAATTGAAAAAAACAGAAAGGAACTTGGAGAACAATCAAATAACAACAGAATTAGAAAAATAGTGGAGTAGGTAAAGGACAACTGAAGGAAGATATGTATTTAATGTAGAATTTTCATATTTTACAAACTCATTGTGTAATTTTGCATTAAGCATTAAGTTGGCCATCCCCACTAAGACCTCGTTCACTACAGTATAATATATAGCCATACTATAGTTTTCTATGTATAAATTGAAGTTTCTTGGTAATTTATCCATTTGTTTGACTGATTATGTTAAGTACTGAAAAGAAAAATCACTAACTTATTAGATTATCAAATAACGAATTGAAAATGTTTATTCCTATATAAAATAGGGAATAATGTAGCTCATCGTAACTAATTCATAAAGTACATAATGATGCACCCAGTTTTATACCTTAATGTTTTTTATGTTACAGCTGGTGTTAATACATAACGTTACGCTATTGGAAACCAAAAACAAGAAGAACAGAACTCGAAACCGTTATCCGCTAGTTGGAAATTGATCGATTTCACCAATGAATAAAATTCTTCAACGTATAATCCAATCATTCACTTATTTTTTTACTATATAACGAGTAACTGGCAAACAAATAAACATGAAGTTGAAGGATTACAATATACCTAGTCAGAGTGGAAATTTTTAATACTGATTTTCTAATCTATAAAACAATGCAGTTTGTTTTTGTCCAAATTTTAGTTCAATAAAATATCTATTTAGATGACATAGAAACATTTCATCAATTTCAGTGCTTCATTTTAAAATATCTGATTGATCAGTTTAAGTAGGGATATATATACATATATATTGAAAAGGTAATAAGTTTTATTGTAGTAGGTTAATCATTCATCCTTTACGTTTAAACAAGTCAACCATAAGTTGAACATGATTCTTTTTGGTTAACCAACTTATTGATACAATGAAAGTAAAACTTTATTAAACATTTTGTCTCTCCCTCAAGTTATATAAATGTATATATATATATATATATATATATATATATATATATATAAACATTGGTCACTATGACAACAACTGTATGTAAATCTATGTATAGAATGCTATACCAGAAATTCCACGCGTAAAAAGTTGTTTAAATAAGTCATTTACACTATTCAAAACAGTTAATTTCTATAAGAGATGACGAATCTCGGATTGTTTTAACTATCAGTTAATAGGGAGATGAAACTGATCAAACAATCCACAATCTCAATGACTGTCTTATGCCTCTATACTCATATTCATAGTAATTATTCAACTTTTACAAAATAGATAAATGTGTAAAGAAATATTTGTAAATTTATATTATATAAATTAGATGATTGAAAATGACTAACATCAATCCCTAAGACTAGGTTTCATGCCCATTTAAACTAATTACATCAATTTAACCGCATAGTTTTAATTGAACTGATGCTTGCGTAAGATATCAATCAATGTCATTCAGTTTCATAACTTAAATGTTACCATTGAAGTATTTAAGCCACAACTAATCAGTTTTAGAATTAATTTTTGTTATCAAAAGTTATTGAACTCAACAACTCATCTAATCATACCAATGAAACTATGATTTAAAAAAAAAGTTAAGTAAACTGTTTGACCCCACCCCCCCCAAAAAAAAACTTCAGTTAATAATTTTTATTGTCCTTGTTACTATTTTAAGTAAAAATGGTAAATGGACAGCTCGAATGTAATTGAAACAATAAACAAATAAATAAATAAACACTTGTTCACTTATCTACATAACAACTCACTTTAACTTATCACACTATCTTTAATTCGATAAACAAAAAATCAATATATATATATATATATATAGAGAGAGAGAGAGGGGGGGAGGACAAAATATTATTTTTTCATAATAAATCCAAAATTTAGATCAATTTTGTAACCATTCATGAAAATCTCTTAACAAAATAGATAGTATTAGTATTAGTAATAATAATAATTCAGGATATATGTTCAATTCTTTTGTCGGTATATGTCCATTAATTTACTTAATACTTTATACTAGAATTTTATTATTATAATCACTAATACAATATATGATATATATCTATATGTCATGTATTGTAAAATATTGAATAAATACATAAACCAAGGTATTAATCATACCATATATTATATACCAATGAATGGATGATGTTCATTCCTCAGGGTTTTAATTTATTTCCCTCCTCCCCCCTCCGCAAAAAACGAATTCTGATTCTTTTTTTTTCAATCCATTTAATTTAAAGTATTTTAGAAACATTTTTTAAATTTTTTTTGTTCCAGAAATATCCTTCATGAAGAAAAGAAAATTTGTTTATTTTTCGATAGAAAAAAAGAATATAGTAATAATAATAATAATACTGATAAAACTCATCTATATTCCCAATCATCTTTTTTCCCCAGTGTTTTGCGTGTATACTAATTTATTCAGTTTATTCATTCATTCATTCATTCACTCACTTATTCATTCATTTACTCGTTCACTTAGTCTCTGTTTATATTTTACTTAAAAGGAAGATTACATCCTGTTTCCAAGTGACTGATAGTAATCGATTAGAGTTATTTATTATGAATTATATAGGTTTATTGTAAGTAAATGTCAATTAAATGTATAAAATATGTTTATTCTTTTGTAAAAAGAAAAGAAAAAAAAAGACATATTTAAAGTGAATTAAAGTATACCTAACCAACTCTCTTTTATTACTGACCAAAGTCATATAGAATAATAATGATTATTATTATTACTATTATTATTACCAGTATTATTACTACTATTTATCAATCATTAAGACAATACTTTCAGTCAAAATCATAAATATTAAGTTTAAAAACACGAAGTTCAGCGAACGGATCTCTTTTCAACGAATTTATTATCAAGTCGTACAATCGTATATATATGACAATATTTTTATTTGTTAAAGTACTAATTCCATGAGGAAATGTGAACACGAATAACCAAGATAATGTAATAGAATGATTATTATACTAGAGTACGTAATACGAAAAATAACATTCGATTTAGTGGATATAATAAGATGATTAAGTTGTTTTTGTTACAATAATTAAAGGTCATAAGGGTGTAGAAATAAACAAGGGGATATGATGAGTATTTATGAATTAAATAATGAGAATACAAAACTTAAGTAAACGGGAATGCAGTAATAACAATAATATTAATTAAGGCTAAAGTGACGATAGAGATAAGACACACTTTTTTGTACGCATAGTTTTGGCTTGAACTCATGGATGTTAAGAGCTTCGGCTATTTTTAAGAGTTGGATTCGAAGAAATCTAGATAGATTTAAACGAGTCATATAAACAACCGTAAAATCAAAATTTGGATCCGTAGAATGATTACAGTATTCAAGTATAGAACTCCTAACTGTTTTCCTTTCACTCTTGTAGAATCAAACTAGGATATGTTCTCGTATTCATATATGTACGATTGTGTACAGCTTGATAATAAATTCGTTGAAAAGACATCCCTTTGCTGAACATCGTGTTTTTTATTTTTAATGTTTAAATAGGGATTAATTGTTAGCAAATAGTGATCATTTTATGAAAATTGAAGCTTGATACTTGTTTGAGATAAAAAAATAAATACTAAATAAAATTATCTCAATATTTTACTGAATGTAAGTTTCATCAAAAGTGTAAAAAAAAGGAAACAAGTTTCTTTAAACGTTATCAAGAATAAAAAGAAAATAGGAAAGTGAATGAATTAGCATATGTGACTAGTAACTAAATTTGTACGAAGAATATTCTTTTCGATAAATTCTCTTCAGGTTCTACAATTCCATATCTAAATTAATAATCCGAAGAATGCCCAAGTTTAGGGCAAAATATATCGTTTAAAATATATGAATTTAGGATTGTGATAAACAAAATACAATAAAATTGTTAATGTTAATATGACTCAGATAGAATGTTAACTTGAATCTGGATATATGTTAAGTGAAGTTCAAGATCCATGATCAGAATAAATATGAGTCAAATAGGGTGAGAGAAGTAATACTGCAATTACAATTCAGTCAAATGTATTTATCAGTTTGCCTGCTCCTATGGACCGAGTGATATTGGTCGAAGTTCTAGAAATTAACATTTTCGTGTTCGTGAGCACCTCCCAACGTGGCTAAACAAAGGTTTGATGAAGAAAGTGAACAGCTCAATATTGACCCATTTAATACAAACTGGTCATACTGTCAGTATAAACCAATCTTTTTCAATTATTTATAAGGTCAAAGCTTGTCAGACTTAAAGTCCTTCAAACAACTGAAGCAGTAGTCATCCGAATGAAGAAACCGAAGAATTTATCGAAAAGAATATTCTTCGTTCAAATATTAGTCTTTTAATATGATGGGGATCATTAAACAAGTAATTAAATTTTTAAAAAAAATTGTATTCTATTTTCATATCATATTATATTTGTATTTAGAAACTATAGACTGTTTCATTCCCCTCCCCCCCCCGCTGAAAAAAAGAAACATTCATATTACCGAAAAAGAAATTGATTTTTGGAATGAATACAAAAAAAGAAAACATGTATCCATCAATATCATCATAATTGCAATCTATTTATCAAAGAAATACAAAAAAGGGGGAATAAAATCACTTACCAACATATTGTCGAAAACTGATAATTGCTATAAATATAACCATTAGTCCACCAGTAAATTGATAATTTAATTGATCAATAAAATCAACACCTTCTCCACCATATGGAGTTTTAAATAATCTGCCTAATTTAAATACAAATCCACCATCTAATAAACCACCAGCTCCACGTGCCATTGATAATTATTATATATAATCTTGGTATATTACTGTTATATTTATATTGTATTAGTCTCCTTAATATGATATAATCCAAAGAAAATGAACTGTATAAATCATATAATATAATACGTCAGTAAACACTTAGGATAAAGAATCCATATGTTTAGTAAAGTGTTGGGTCCCTTTTTTGATGATCTGTTTTCTTTTTTGTTATTCTCCTTCTTCTTCTTCTTCTTCTTCTTATGATTATTATTTAGAATGTAGTAGGAAATCCGATCAATTCAGTAAAGATATATTGATCTAATTGTAACAATTTGCATAGATATTAACAATGAACAATGATAATATCAAAAATATTGTCCGTTTGAATAAGATGATCATTTAATTTAGTACAAATATTATGATGTAAAATCACTTTATTATTATTATTATTATTATTATTATTTGTATTAGAGGGAGCCGGATTTCTGCTATTATTTATTATGTAATAATGTTTTGTTTGTTTGTTTGTTGTTTACTTGTTTCTTCTATGTAATCTTTTGAAATATAAGTAATACTTGATGATTAAATGGTTTATACCAAGATAACATGAATCTATTTATCATGAAAACCTTTTTTTCATACAAATGAATGTTCTTTAATTTGTGGGAAAAGGAACTATTTATATGGAAATTTCTTATGTAGACACATTTGAAAAATTGAGTTTGTATTGATCGGAAATGAATAAATGCATCATATACTACTTATAAACAATAATTATCCATTAAAATCAATTAAGAGATCATAATTGTCAACAACAACAACAACAACAAGAATTCTCTTATTCATATAATACTATTAAAAATGTAGAAATTAGTGTTAATGATAATAGATTATGTTGCTATGTATAATATCAAAGTAATGGTGATGATTATGTAATATTGCATTCATTTAAATTGATTTGTTGTTTATAATTCCAATCAATCAATGAAATCAATAAATTTGAATAAACTAAATTGATAACCATTGGATACATAGGATATGATAATAGATATTTATAAATAGAAGATCACAGTACATAAAATGATTCGATAAAATAGTAATAATAATAGTAATAGTAAACGTTCCAGTATTGTTTAAACACAATTCCTTTCTTGTGTTAATAGTTATATCTGTTACAATTTCTTTATCATATAAAAAAGGGATAATAAAATGAACAGTTTCTATGATAATAAGAAAATAGTCAAATGGAATTATCTTCTTTTTCTTTCTTTCTTTCTTTTTTGCTCTTCTTCTTTTTATATTTCACTCACTAATATTGAAAGAATTAGAGTTGACTGATCAATTTTTTTTTGTACTGAACTATTCCAGTCTTTTCTTCTCTTTTTTTCTTTTAATAATCCAATTTCATAGGTGATTAATGAATTTAATAAGGATTATGTTTATTATGAATGAGATAAGCAATGGATAATGATAATAGTTTCCACCTGGTTAGATAAAAATTCTATCATAATACCAACTATACATATGAAAGAAATGGTATTCCATATTGTTATGATTATTTATCTTTTTTTATAATAATGTAAATGATAAATAAATTTCAATACATATAAAAACCATTTCATTTTTAATTCTGATATTTTTAGGAAATTGGATAAGTAAATCTATATGTCTAATATAAGTATGTCTGTAAATCATATTTGTCCTATGTATGATAATGCATATGTCTGTCTGTCTATCTATCTATGTGTCCATCTATATCAATGTTCATTTCCCAGAATGTATTTGGTACTTGTGTGTGTTTCTGTATACATATATATCTGTTTCTTGTTTATTTTTAGAGATCAATTGAACAAGACAAGATGAGTATGATGAAATATAACAAAGTACTCAATAGTGGAAAGACAGGAGCACAAGTTGAAAACACAACTAACTCACTTATATTGAATTTCAAAGAATTTCACCCCCCAAAAAATGAGAGAAAATACACACAACAACAATAAAAATGATAACGATAAAAGATGAAGAACAAAGGGAGTATTTATATACTCTTTTAAGTATATTCATAGACAAACAAATAGGCATACATACATACATACATACATCACAGATCAAATTGGAGAAAAAAGAAGTAAGAATAACAAACAAGCAAGAACATCACAGGTCTGATATGATGTCGAAAAGCCACAATTCAACAACAATGACATCAAACGGACATATATGTCAACATAGCTTCAATGAGATGTGCTTTGTTCTATATGTTTATTAAAGGGTATGTCATGACTCTTACTTTGTTTTCCTTTTTGCTCTTAAAAAAATATGTTCAATTTTCTCATGACCATCATGATGTATCCTAGTTTAATGTCATTCGTTTCAGTGAAATGTCTGTGTCTCATGCTACTAATACTTTTAATAATAATAATAACAATAATAGGGAGAAATAATTGAATAGTGAATTTTTCACTGTAATTCCATTTTTGTATTTCCTAGAATTTAACCTTGAGATATATGAGTGACTATTTGTGTTTATTTGCTTGTTGATGTGTGTATAAAACATTGTGTTCTCTTCCTCTAATGGTTCATACCTCTGCTGATTTCAGTAGCTTCTTCAACCTTATTATTATTATTATTATTACTATTATTAAACATTATCAATTATTTCATAATGTCACGTCCTTTACACTACATTGCTTAACGATGAATCTATAATTGTCTTACGGGACAAAGTTCAATTCAGCATTAATCATATGCACTAATGAAATTTTTCAGAATTTCAATGAATCATTCAACTTAAAAGATAATTACTGTATAAAAACGATTCACAAGTATTACAAACCATATTCATATCAATCATCTGGAAAGGCTTTTTCATAAAACTTTAAATTTCTCAATTTTAACTTAATTAACAACTATTTGTATTCGTTTTAGGTTATAGTTACAGATATTTAAATTGGACATAATTTTCCATATTTCGAATAGGTAAAGTTGGCATTAAACTATTTTATTCTAAATCGACGTGTTTCAATGTTTTGTACCAAGTGACTGCTTTAGCAATTTTATTTTATTTTTTTTTTTTGAAGGAATATACAAACTGTTCTTAGCTAGACTACAATTGGAGAGTCAAAAGTATTTCACATAAAATGGAACACAGAAACGTCGATCTTGTGTACGAACATTTAATCTCTAGACCGCCGAGCCGGCATCCGAAGGTTTATGCGTCTAAGTTTAATCAATTTTATGATACTACATATTATTCTTTTATTGTTTTCCGTGGATAACCATCTTAAACTCAACGTGACTGAACTCTGTTGTTCACAGCTGCACATTAGAACTCTAGGAATCGCAACCTGAAGCTATCCACCAGTGAGCACGTGACAATATAAAATAAACTTTAAATCCATACTAAGCAGTAAGTAGTCTTCTCCATTCATAATGATAAATTTCGATAAAAATTAACCTGCTGCTTTGTCTTTTATACTGTTTGTTTGAATCTTCCCACTGATGTTTAGGACTGCAACCATTTATACATCCTGTGTGGATTTGTCCAATATTGCCTTGACTCATATGTAAATATAGATGGTAGCTAGAAGTGGAATCCAGGACTAGCGGTTCTTCCTACTTGGGACTTGTCAGCTGAATGTACCTGTATAGCAGAGTTGATATTTACTCTAGGACTTTGTATTCAACACGTTATTTCGCTTTATAAAAGTTCTTAATTGTTGAATCCAATGTAGATTTCTTTTTTCATGTTGACAAGATTTTGTTCTCTTTCTCAAATCCATAATATTCAGACTGAACAAAGAGAGTGTCTATTTTCAGATTATCGATCTGAAAACAAATCATTAAAGTTTTAACCACGAACAGGTATTGTTCAACAATCTCAAAAAAGAAATGAAACATTAGTTGATTTTATTATTATTATTATCATTATTATTGTTATTATTATTATCTGTACATAGATTATGGTTTCAATCCCTACATGAAAACCGTTGAGAATATCAAATCATTATGAAGTAATTCTACGCTGACTTCAAATTCCCAAACATTTCTTCATCTGCTATTAATTGTTGATGTAAAACAACACACAATAACTAACAAATCTTACAAAGAACTTATTATTCATATCATTATTGTTGCTAAACTACTTGTATATTTTTCAGTAGTAATCACTGAGTATCTATTTTAACATATAAATAATCAGAATGGGTTTTGTGGAGATTTTTAGAAATTTCACAGGTTGAAATCATGCGTCAATTGAAGCTAGACCACCATGAAAAAACCTGCAAACACTGGACGGCCGTTTCGTCCTAGTATGGGAATCTTCAGCAGTGAGCATCCACGATCCCGCACCCCGCGGGTTTCGAGCCCAGGACCTACTGGTTTCGTGGGCTAAGGGGTCCTATACTAGAACGAAACGGCCGTCCAGTGCTTGCAGGTTTTCCATGATGGTCTAGGTTTAATTGACTCATGATTTCAACCTGTGAAGTATAAATAATGATTTTAATAAACTACTTTATCAATATTTATTCAAATCCCTAGCAATGACAAAATAATTTATCTATAATCGCTTTAGTAACAACCGTTGATAATCATATTAATACTACATATTACCATTACTATTATTATCATTACTACTTATAATGTTATTATCAGTATAGTAATAATAATAAACCATAAACTATAAACAATTAAATAAGAATAATTGACTAATTAGGAAATTAAAAATTAAATCGTATCCTGATTGACAGACAAATCTATACTTCATGATGAATTCATTCATTGGTCAGGATTATCAATAATGTCAATAACAATAACAGTAGATGTATAAATAAATACTGTAAAACAAAAAGAATAAACATGATAATAATGAGAATATAGTTACTAATCTATAATTTACAAGTAGTATTTACAATAGTAGTATACAATACTGAAAATAAAATAGAAAACATTACCCTCCAAAAAATAAAAGTGAGTCATAAATAGCTGAAAGAATAGATTGGTATATGTTTTGTAGTCTTATTTTAAATATCTTGAATACTTTTACCACTTCCACCTAACTATTTGTATGTATTTGTTTGTCATTTTTTTAAATCTTGTAACACACAGAGAAAATCATTATGGGGTTGTGGAGATTGTTTAATTATTGATTGAGATCATAAATCGATCAATGTTAGACCATCATTGAAAAAATAGAAACATTGAACGACCGTTTCGTCCTAGTATGGGTTTCTTGATCAGTGTTTATTAACGATTCCGCACACGGGATTTTAACACAAAAAGTTTGGTCTCGCGAGTGAATACTTAAACTATAGAGCACTGAGCCATCATCTAACGATATTAATATCTAACTTGAATCGACCTAATCCCACCTACCCCATACTGATAATTTACATGTGCTCACTAGTGACTCGCTTCGAGAAGTAATTCTTGGAGTTCTAGTTACAAACCATAACCAGTGAAGTTCGATCCGTGTCGAGTAAAAACAAGTATCCACTTCAAACAATGGAAGATGTTCGCACAATTTCGTGGATCGGTTGAAGTTAGACATTAACACCGTTGGATGGTGGTTCAGTGGTCTAAAGGTTAAGTGATCGCACGTGAGACCGAAGGTCATGGGTTTGAGCTCGCACGCAGGATTGTAGAGTGCTTTTCAGGTTTTTAATGATAGTTTACTTACATATCTGTATAACGCGACTATTTTAATTCTCTAAATGAATAAATATATGTGTGTATATAACCAAAAATTAAGATAAAAATGAACTCTTAACGACTTTTAATCATGTCAATTGTTTCAGATGAATTGTGAAATCATATTATTATCTATTTGCTACGTGAGTTCACAAATATTCATAAGTAGAATATTTCTAATTATGAATACAACGATTTGAGTTATGTCGTTGCTGGTATTACGAATTGAAATCAATTCACTCGTAATGTTAATGCGAATCCTGGGAAGTAGACTAATAAGTCTCAACTAGAATAAAATATGGGTCGTGAATTTCATTTTCAGAAATAATTCAATTTTTTTTACAACATATATGCATGCCAGTATATCCATATGTTAGTTTATTTCATTGACTAAATGAACAGAATAGGATAAGTAACAAAGGAAATGACGACTAGAGACTATTATAAGACAGTAATATTTATTGATTAACCAAGAGAGAATGCTTCGAAGGGAAGAGAAACATATTAAATTATCTTGACGATAATGACAACCACAACCATGATAGCGGCTATAATTGCAATAAATACAAGTCAATATTTATTCTTTAATATTTATTATTATTAGTGAACATGGAAAATAAAAATGTGAGTTAGGAAGAAAGTTAACGTTGAAATTAATCGGCACGGAATAATCTTAACAAACAATACTGATGATGATAATATTAGTAGTGTGGTATATGCTGCTTATATCAACAGATATAAGTAGTATGTAACACCAATAGAAATTGAAATGTCTGGCAGTAGACGTTTCAAAAGATCTAATAGAAGAGAATAGGACTAGAGAGTGATTAGTATAGAAATGAAGGAACAACAAAGTCTGAGACAATTGATGAACATTTTGTAAATCAAGAATTGAACGTATGGTATTCACATTTTACCAATTAACTCTATGAATGCATGAATG